TGACGTAGTTTTTTTTCTATTTCGTACGCGCGCCGTATTGACCTATTTAACAAGGCTACATAAAAGGGAGATTGCATTGGCGCCAATAATACATCATAGATAGTGTGCCTGAGCCTGTGCATTCTGCCAATTTTTGTTTGAATTAAACAATCGCTGAATGATTTATTATTTTGTGGACCATCTACGCACACTTTATTTATCTAATCGCAAATCTTGTGTATTCATTTCACTTGTGTTCTACGAATCGAATTGCCTGCGGGGTGGCAATACAAAATTCGGTTGCAAAGCAACGTTCATCGTATTATTTTCCCAAGGAAATTATTGGAGTTCTCGGTTTTTCATTCTTCGAAAGTCGACAGCTGTATCACATTAATGTCAATCTCCCGCCGAGCGGCAGCATTTTGATTTCGATCGGTTTTGTTTTGTCATGATAACTTTTTGAGCTTTACTTACCCACCCTTAGCGCAACGCTCGCAGCTTGATTAGACAGATACCTTAGATGTTCATTTTTTGATTAGCTTCATCGAAATTAATTTGAATGTTATGGCAATTTTTCATCGTTTGTGGTAGGACGGGGGAACGGCGTTCGAAAAGAACCAACTGATGCCACTTTTAATGGTGGGAAATTCATATTTGGAATGATGTTTCGATTATTTTTAATGAAATGGAATTTTTTTTTTCTTGTCTGACTACCATTTAATAAATGTATCGAACTGAAGATGTATCGCTTCTGCCGGGTAATCAATATCTTACCAATCTATAATGCATCTGTGTTTATGTTAATTCTCTCTGCACCTTTTATTCGTTCGTTCATTCGACACGCGATTCATTTGAAGAGTTTAGCGCGTGAAAAAAAAAGTGTGGAGAATCGAATGCGGGCACATAGTTGACCAGACTCATGGATAGCTTCAAGGGATAGTCATTTTCTGACACATCACCATTAAAAATGGATATCTCCATGGTGCCCAAAAACGCTTCGTCATTTTCAGCACATTTAGTATGCTACTCCGAATTCCAGCGGAATTGTCAATAACAAAATCATATGGGAACGATTTGAATACGAAAGAAAATGTAACAAAAACCGGAATAATGCAACACATGCGCTGCTTTTGTGTTATATATCTTGTACACATTGGAAAAATGTGTCATGAGTCACGGCATTTAACATTTACCATTTTTAAATGTTTAATGTGCAACTATGGAATTAGCATTTTAGCGCTAATCTTGCACTAGCAAGGCGCGCGCGCGCACACACAAGTAGTGTGGGGTAAATCGTGCACAGGAAACTTAAAAATAAACGAAATTATTTCGCCGAACACTTGTCACACATAACAATATGTAACGAATGTGGCGAAAAAAAGTGAGTGAGAGAGAGAGAGAGAAGACATAAAATCGATAATTAATCATGAATAATGAATAGTGTTGAGTTCAACTGCATTTATCACAACTCCATAAATATTCCAACGAAACGAAAATGTGAGCAAAGTGAGCAAGCAGCAAAATGTTGGCTGGAGTCACTGTGTGAAAATATCGATTTTTGGTCACGGTCATGGTCGTCGTGCCTCCGAAACGAACGCGCATTTAACTACGCTATTTTACTCATGGCACACAGTGCTCTTCGCTGTGTTTCTTAAAACCGTATCGCAAAGGTATTTGTGGCATTGATTAATGCGATGCTTGTTGTTATTTCTAATCAAACTCACACTCACACACACACACACACACACACACACACACAAAACGGACAGTAAATGCGCTTTAACAATGACGAAAAGCTGCTCAATATCGATACTATTATGCAGTAAAGATACATATTTGCCTGCTGTCATTTATTATTATCGACTGAGAGCACAGGATAATCGGACCAACAAAGAGATTGAGCATAAAATGGGCTTAATCCGCTTTCGTATTTCGGCTGGCAGACGAAAATGGGTGGTTTCAAGACGCGTTCAAAGTTCATGGTCAGAAACCATATAATCTCCATTTCGATCTCACATTGTGACACAAATAATACACCGAAGCGAAAAAAACATGTAACCGATATCGAAAGTGCTTAGGAAATAGAGAGAGAGAGAGAGAGAGAGAGAGAGAGAGAGAGAGAGAGAGAGATTCGTTTGAGTAGTGAGTGAGAAAAAAATAAATTTGATTCGAGCATTTTGACATTGAAAAACTCGAACGGAAAATTGACTGAGAGCTGAAGGTGAAATGTAATTTGTGAGTTGTCGTCGCCTCATGCGAATTTCAATAAATCACATCTTATTTGTGCCTACCCTTAAATGTTCAATGACTTTTCAATTAACAAGATGAATGAACGACACAATATAAATATGAGAAATGAAATGGATCGGAAAAATGGAAATCAACATTTCAAGTGTTCACAAATTGAATGCGTAAGAACTTCAAATGTTGTATTTCATTCCCATAGGTTCTATTGTTTTTCATCTAACTCCATGCCATACTCACATCGGCATGACATCAAGTGTTCATCTCACCGAATCGTGTGTTCAACGTAAATTCATCTTTTTGAGCGTCTTTTTTTTCTGTTCCTAATATGTTGATCGAATTGAAAATGTTTCTTTTTTGTTGTCGAATAACTTAGATGCTCGCATGAAGAACGAGAGTATATCATACAACCATTTAAGTCATAAACGATATTAACGATTACATGAAAAAGAAAAAATAGAGCAATCCATCGAAAACGTTTTGTTTTTCTTCTTCGTCAATTTGGTGTATGCTGGTGCGACGTTCATTGATTCGCTTCATCGGGTCAAAACAAGAAAATGCGCCAAGACGAAAATAACAACAAATAATCACCAATTAAGAGATATATTATAAAATGGTTAAGTGAAATATGAAACAGAATGGAGTGACAGGAAAGAGTAGAGAGCGTCGGCAATGTAATAAATGGAAAGCACGTGATGGGTGACGCAATCGGTATATAGTACAATTAATTGCTCTTAAAATGTATATCGATTTAAATTGCGAGTAAAATAACAACAACAACAAATTGGTTCAAGTGTGTGTCGCGCGAGCGACTGTGCAGTGTGCACGGACTGTTTGATATTACAATGTGTATGCATCGGGATGAAATACGAAGCAATTGACAGTGATATTTTTAACTGATAAACAAACAACTAATAATTATTTGTCAATGAAGCGCGGCAAAATGAGAAGAAATAAAAAAACAACAAAATATCTACATTCGCCATCGGCGTCGTTGTCATCGTTGCTACTCTATTGGCCGCCCCTCAAAATATTCATCATAAATTGCGTGTTGATTAAACATTGATTATTTCAAGCAACACAATAATTGAGCAATTTAGCATCGTGTCCTGTATTCGACCATAACTCATTTTTTTTCTTCTTTGAATGGCAATCACAATCTCACTTTCCAAACCATTTGCAATTTTATGATCACGCAGAGAAAAAAAAATCAAAGCAAACTATGCCGACCGATCGAGTGGTGCGATTTTTTTTTTCGATCCCTGTGCAAAATTAGTATGTCGTCAAACACATCATGACAACGACAGGGTCACGTGGTTTCAATGGAGCCACTTTCAACTCAATGATCATGCAATTTATCTATTTCGAATGGTCAACAATGATTGTCTTCTATCTGCCCAAATACGTGTACGAGCTCATTCACATGCAAATTCAAAAATAGAAGAAAAAAATATCAGAGAATTTCCGGAATTCTTTTATCAACAAACGGGAGGGGGGCGGTACGAAGAATGGTGTTTGAGTTAATATTTCTTATGCCAGTAATCGATTTTATCTTTGTTTGCCAGACGTTATCCAATATTCCTCATTGTTTTCACAACTGCCTTATTCTCACAGAGAGACAGAGAGAGAGAGTATCGATTCAGGCTAATGATTGGAACGAAAATTCGATCAAAAGCCGGCGAAAATTTCCGAAAAACAAATGAAAATTCTTATCAATTTATTACAAGCAGAATTTTCCCAACGCACACACACACACACAAACGATGTATGCAACAACAACAAAAAACTTTTAACTCGCAGTAAATGGGGAAAAAATCTAAATCCCATCAATCTTCATTACAAAGAAGTGAATAGACAAAAACAATATTTTTCCCTAAAATAATAATCAATCAATCTAATTTGCAGATTCGCCGATACTCTTTCGATGAGTGAAAAAGGGAGCGAGGCCGAGAGAGAGTCTTGATTTTTTTTTGAATTTGTATCTTTATTATCTTTCGATTTTCTAGGGTTTTTAGATAGAGTCTTGATGCGAGTCCCGAGTATCAATTCGCATATATTTAGAGCCGACTCCTGCAAATATATTGTGTCCGCATTGAATATGCAAAAGAAAAAAAGCTTCGTTTTAAATACCAAATATAAACACCGAAGGGAAAAATAATCGCTAAGAAAAACATCCACCGTGTAGACTTAACGCTTCAATGTTTTTGTTTACTCCAAAGATTATTTCATCGCTTGAAAAAGCCAGAAAAAAAAATGGAACTCTTTGATATTCGTTTGACACAAGCTGTTTGTGGAAAAATTCTACGACTCAAATGTTTTGCTCAATCTCATGATTGCAATGCTTTGGTGGCACTTCTTCAATAATATCACCTAGATATTATACACAGCAGAGTATTGAGTATGCTGGGTATCCAGCCTCTGCTATTCAACAGCCGCTGTCAATGCATTTGGAATGCATAAGGTAGAAATAACAGGACATTTTGTTTATTGTTTCGCCAATATCAAACGCATCAACAGCAGCTGTTGAAAATCATTGTGAAATATCCGCCGCTGGACAGTCAGCGTACTCAATTCTCTGATATACAGAATTTATCACATTGAGTCAACAAAAATGTGTTTTATCGTCGATGCGAATATAAGAACGATTACAATAACGAATTGAAATGAGAAGTATTTAAATGATGCTGCTATGTCGAGTGCCTCATACATGTTGTCCGCTTCGCTCATATAAATTCATTTAAGTTTTTCAAAAAAATAAATGGCAAAAACAAACTTACCCCAAAGCCAAGGAATGACAATTTCCGCGTGTGGATGTCGGGTTTGCTGCCACCGTAAGCCATTCTTTTTTCCTATTTATTGTCTTATTATTATCCCGATCCAATTGTTATACAGTTCACTTCGGAAAGGAAAGCAATTAAACGATGACAAAAAAAAATTTATCAAGCAAATGTGTTTGCTTTTTTGATGCGCAATCTATGAATATGATGCAAAATGGTGTCGTACGCTGTCGTCGGATGAATTATTTCTCTTTATTACTTTTACCGGAAAGCTCATAATCATTTACACTTCATAAAGTTCCACTTGAGTGTGCAAACGTGTATATTGAATCACGTGCGCGCGATTCACAAAATAAAAGTATTGACACGTTCGTTCTACATTAGGCACTCTCTAGCCATGTTTCCACAACCACACACTGTTTCAGCCGGTTAGTGAAAAGGGCAAACAAAAATTCGACACCGAGACCGACTGCGATCAAATTGAGGACGGCAGGGTAGGGGGAGTACATCAAATCAAAAATCGCGAAGAGCCACTTTCAATTGGTTTGCCACTTAATTTTTTCTCGTCCACTTCAAGATGGATTGGCCAGTATAAATTGGTCCCAGTGTAAACATGCACGCATAAAATTTCAGGTAACGTAATTCAGTTGGGATAGGTTATGGCCACAGTTGAGCTGCTTCAGTTGATGGGATATATTCTGTTTTGACTGTTTGGTTGGTATGAAGCAGTATTTGAAAATGAATTGATTTTATTTTGCTATGCTTGACACGCGCCACCGTTTGTTATCATTCAAGCGGTCACACTGTGGTTGTGGGTCAATGATCTTAATCCATTGAACGGAAAACCGCTTTTTCCGCATTTATTGACCTCCAGCCCGCTTTTCCTGCGAAAATGGAAGAAAAAAAAACACCGAAGAGATAAATATAACTGAATAAATAACTCGTCGATAGAAACACAAACTAGACATATGATTCGTGATATGTGATGTGTGACCGACACAGAGAGAGAGAGAGAGACCAATGATATAATCTGACGATGTTTCCGACACCATACTAAAATATTCAAATTATTCATACACACATATGACCCGTTGCAATGAGTGACGGAACTATTTTCCACGCATTTTTTCCCTGTCGTTTCATGTCGTAATAATTTTTCTCACTATTATCCATTGATTATTTGTCTCGCACTTGTTTGGGTTCTTGTTATTAAATCATAGTCGCATTTGCAAAAAGCTGTACTGAACATTGATGTAACCGCGGAAAGGAGTGAGTGCGCGGCATTCAAACACATTCCAAGCCAATTTATCTATTTATTGATTTTTGTTTGTTTGTTTTTTTTTGTCGTTTCAGAGGATAAACCGCCTAACCTTCCACACCAAAGATAATTGTGCTACGCGTATTACACTATTCCGCGCGCGATCCGCGCACAAAACTAATATTACTTTATTAAGGCATGTGATTAAATTGGCGTGACATTGTTACTTTTGTTCCACGCAAATCGAACGTGCATGTGAGCATTTCATATTCCATTTAAATTCATTTTAATTTCGATGTGTGAATGTGTATCAATTTGACTATCATTTATTTGCCCATAATAATCCAGTTATACCATACGCGCAACGGTCTTGTGATTAAAATGAAAAAAAAAATTGATAAATTTTACGATGCTTTTGCGGTCACCAAACTGTTGGCCCAAAATTAGACACTAGAAAAAGAATCTGCCCGAAAAATAGACGTATTGAACAATTGTTTGAACAGCTTAAAATGACAAAATAATATGAAATCAGAAACTGAACGCCCACAACAGGAGAGAGAAACAAAAAAACAGCCAGCTTTTTTACATTTCATTCGTTTAATTCAGCAATTATGTTGTTTCGATGGATAAATGCGGCACGAACCGAAAACAAATATTGACATTAGCATTACAGTCAATTTGCATTTTTTGTATGCCATTTAAAACCATACATGATTGGCGATCGATTAGCACCTAATTATAAATTAAACTGATGAATGTCGAGAACGGGTCGAAAGCGAGAGAGAGAGAGAGAGAGAGAGAGAGAGAGAGAGAGAGAGAGAGAGTGAAGGAAAAACATTTCTGAGATAATTGTGTGTATTTTCAAGAGCGCGACAAGTCAAATTAGACTTGATTAAGAAATTCAGCGTTAAACAATGTGATTAGAAATGTGAAAATGAGCTATTAATTAGCAGTTTGCCTTCTTCATCGAACAAATTGTCTCATAAGTTTAATTTAGTTTTTTTCTTTTCAATCATGATGATTATCATTTTTAAGTAAATCACAGCGGCCGCTGCTGTTGCTGTTGTTAAATGTTGTTCGCGCCAGTGTGAAGTTGTAATTGATACTTCGCGTTGAAACAATAAAAGCAACAACAAGAAAAAAAATAATGACACTGTCATTCAATGGAATGGTGCCAACGGTTTAAGTATACGTACAACGACAGAACTTCCTCTGTAATTATCAAAAACAAAACAAAAACGAGAGAAAAAAAAAACTTTTCGAAATCTAATAAAAAAAGTTGTTATGATTGCGCAAGTAAAAATAAATCACGTGCAAATGGAAGACTCTCTGTGGAAAACTCGGTTGATGCCATCAAAACATCGAATACAATCCAAAGTTCCGGTGTGATGCGTAGCAAAAACAATGAATGGAGGGGTTGTTGTTGGTGGTGACGGTGGTTGTGGTGGTGACAATGGTGTAAGGTTCCCTTTTCACATCGCACATCGCAATGCCACAAAACAATTGATTTTCATAGAAATTATCCATGATAATTAGTATTCAGTTGTTTTTATTGTATTTCCTGAATGAAAATTTTAAGTGTTTCTCATTTTGGGTACATTAACAAATTTCCAAGCGCAACGGATTATTCAACCGTTTCAAATTGTGTGTGTGTGTGAATGTCAAGGACATCATTCGTGATGCGAACGTTACACCGAACATTTGCGAGAAAAAAAAAACACGTAAAGACATTTTTTTTTATAGTTAATTTAAAAATCTTTAATCATTTTTTCTAATTGTTGTTTCGTTTCAAATTTTCACCTGTTTGAGAGAATTGAATGTGTCAGCTCACTTGTGTTATAATTGGTTTCTATTTTTGTAAATCGATAAAATTGAAAATAGACACTTTGCAAGCCGAGTCTTTCGGTCAAATCACCAGAACGAACGCACAAGAACTGAATGCTAAGCCGGCTCGACGCTAATATATTGATCCGTTGCCACAACTCACGAGCCGGTGTCAAGCATGTAGCTCCCGGTCGTATGAGGATATTTGACTTTCCAAAAAAAAAAAATGTTATTGAAGAGCAAATGTTTGCCGAACAACCTTACGACCTGCATTCAAAATGGATCAAAAATGCGTCAATTAGCAAACGAGAACTGAAAATCAACAAATGCTTAATCATTAACAATGAACGAGTGTTTGGGAGCACGCGCGCTTGTAACTTAAATGTCAATTCGAGTAAAATTCCGTTGTTCGCTAAGCCGCTGTGTATTTGAACGGTTAATGCAAAAATGTCAAAAGTAAAGAGAGTGCGAGAATGGGGCACAAGACACAAATCGAATGAAATTCGCAAATTAAACAAAAACAAACACACACACACACACACACAATGAGATAGACATCGAAATTAGTAAATGGAAAAATAATTTGATCACATGACCAGAGATACTTTCAATTGCACCCAATATAAAAAAGAGAGGTGATCCGACACCTTAGTGTGGCTTTACCAAACATGAAATTTAGCGAGATATCTGCCGCAAAAAAAAGTGAGAGGGAAGGTAAGCAACAAGACAAACGGAATCGAATGAAAAAGAATGGGAGGTCATTTAGGCGAATGATATGTGTTTGGCTTGAAGATCGTGCGTGTTTTTGTAGCTCGTTTCACCTAGTCATATGATTTGATTTTCTTCTGAACAATCAATTCGATTTGTTTTTTTCGCTGTACGTTAATTTGTAATTTCACATACGGCGCGTAGTTGCTGGCCGCGAGCAATTCAGTATGGACGCGACAGTGAGTTACAAAACAGGGCTTTGATTTATTGGCTTATGCACTTTCGCATTCGACAGAGAGAAACGGAAAAAAAGACACACGTCAAAAATAGAAACGAACGACTGAGATTTTCTAGGCGGCAAGCCACACCACGCCACAAAAAAGCACAGCAACTGAATGAGCAGCTAACAAATCGACGGTCATAAATCAAGCAATTAACAAGCCATTGTAGAAAAAAAAAGAAGATATTATCGGAGTGCATATCAGATGAATCGATTTTATTGATCGTGTTTCTTTTCCAGCGGCAATAAAAATAAGCTTAAATGCTAAATTCAGAGACAAGTTTGGCGAATTTTAGATCCATTTTTGGTGTCTGTACACTTTTATAGCATCTTATAAATATTCATACCGACTTTATGCTAATGCCGTTCAGTTTTTCGTGTGTCGCACTCGCGAATCAATTCTTATTTACTTTTGCATTGGATAAAAGAGAAGAAAGAAGTAAAAAAAAAACAAACAAACAAACAATCCTTCTAATTGCTGTTGCCACGATAAAAATCACATAAAAACGCTGAAATTTAACAATGAGTGAATTCTTTTGCTAACAATGTTTATGGGCTTTTGAGTAGATTGTGACGAAAATTGTCTTTTAGAGTCCGTACAGACGAAGTAACTGCATAAAATGATAAAAACAGGGTCTCTTATTCCGACTTGACAATGACACTGAGACACTTTATTCCATCGTGTATACTCTCACCACGGAGTGAACAAAAGGGAATTTTGCAAATAACAAAAAGCGCAGATTGTTTGTGCCCAATTTTGAAATCTCCACCTGTTTTAGACGCTTGGTTAATGAAATGCTGTGCACATCGTAGACAAACCATGTCAAAATATACATACATCACTGAGTAAAAACCAATCCAGAGTGAAACCGACTGTACTAATACTAGCAAAATACATCGTGCGTGATGCTGCTTTCTTTTACCTGTCATCGTGCGCGCACTCTCCGCAACAAAAATAGATTTTATTTGTTTATTTTTCTCTGCTACTGCTGCTGTTGCGCTGAAATGTAAAATAGAGCGTTTTGTCTCCGAAGCAGCTTGTTCTAATGTAAACAAATTGCTTGCGTTTTGTTGACATCTGAAGCATTTTGTGTGTGTGTGCGTGTGTCTGTATGCTGTGGATGGTTCGGCCTTCGGCGTGTCTTTTCCCCAGATTTTAATTAAGATATCAAGGAAATTTCCGGTGCTTTTCAAGTTTTGGCGAGTAGCGAGAACGCACACATATTGTCCGTGCTATTAATATCCGTTTAGGAGGCACAACAACCTTGAGGTCAGTTTTCAAAATCACTACGCATTTCATGTTCGGGAAATTTTCGACACATTTGGGCGACTATCATCCTCTGTATAACTGTCCTCTTTTGACACAATCACCGGTTTATTTATATATCGGATGACGTATTTAATTATTGAGTCTTGAGCATGTGTTCCACAGAAACGAGTGCTTTGTTTATTTTTATTCTCTCTCTCTCTCTCTCTCTTTCTCTCTCTCTCTCTCTCTTCCGGTATAAGTCTCGAAACAAATCGACAAATCACGTGCGCGTAAAATTTGATTCGCTTGAATATTCATGCTAAGATTCGCTTGACAATAAGAATGACACCCATAGAATGAAAGAACAACTTATGGGCTCTTTATCCATAACTGAGAGGGAAAAAAATCTAAAGCAAAAAAGAGTCAAATAAAGTTGCGAGCACACAACTCAGCATTAAGCGAAAAAGATGTTGTTTGCATTTTTCTCCCTAATGGAAAGAGATAGCGACACATCGAACGGAGGTTCCCCTTGGTTCAAACTTTCTCTCCCGTTTACAAATGAGGCGCACCAAACCACAAGCACAGCGAATAAAATTCAACATTGAATGTCAACATTCACGTAAACCATAAAAAAACATGTTCGTCGGTTCACAGGAGTTTTTTGCGCGTTGCTTCGAAAATGGCTTTATCGCGTATCTTGATTTCTTGCAAGTAGTCACGTTTTTGAGTCAGCAACAACGAAAAATTCGTTGCGTCTGACGTCTATTACTTATGACAAAACTGGATTAAATTCATTATTTTTGCAAATGAAATAAATTTGAGGTAAGCAATGTTCTTGATGCTTATCAATTGAGGAAGAAATAAGAAAAAAAAAACGAAATAGTTCTGGCAGATATTCAAATCAGCAGAAATAAAATGTTTTACCATGTAAAACGAACTTTTCCGCACATTTTCGGTAGAATGTAAAATATAGATCACTTGGATGGAATGTTGCAATTGTTAAGTGATGTTACCATAACCATGAAGGACCCGGATGGTATTTATGTTCATCTTCGTTCCAAGACCTTTCATATGATACCCATATTGACTATACTTATTTAGAAATGGTATGAAGTTCATCATGGTCATCATGATGGACGGATATAGTGTCCATGTCCACGCCCATTTTAAAACCTTTCATATGACACCCATATGACATATGTCAACTATTTATATGAAAAAATGCTGTTAAGTGGTGTTAACATAACCGGGATGGACCGGGATGGTGTTCATGTTCATCTCCGTTCAAAGACCTTTCATATGATACCCATATTGACTATACTATGTAAAAATGGTATGAAGTCCATCAAGTTATAACACCATTTAACATCACTTACCATGGGAAAATCGTGTAAAAACAGTAAAAGAAAAAATAAAAAGTTTTTAAAAAAAATAAAAAAAATAAATAGAAAAAAAGTCAATCATGGTCGGCCATCGTGTTATAAATCATTTAACACGGATTAACATGATAAAATCGTGTTAAAACAAATCAAAAATCCGTTCTATGATAACAAGAAAAAAAAATTCAAAAAAATCCAAGGGTCCCCCCTTGGGTGAAATTCTATGACATCCGAAAATTACCAGATGAACTGGTCCAATTTGGCCCAACTTTTGATACATCCAAGATATTTACTAATTGTGACTCCTGGCCAAATTTGAGCGAAATCGCTTGAGCGGTTCGAAAGTTATCGTGGACACAACAAAAATTAGCACACTTTTTATCACGTCGATCGCTATACTTTTCTCACACACTTCGTGTGCGGAAAAGTAAAAATTGGTCCATAAAACAGGTGAAAAACGAAATCGAATCCGTATGTTCTACACTGAAATATTACATGGTTGTTGTATATTTGCACGTCCAAAATTAGATTTGTAAACAATAATTGTTTGATGTTGAAATGCTACTTTTGTGCAAAGTGTTCCATTGCAAATCGCTTAAAAGGTTTAATATTTCATTCATGCTTCACTGCTACTACACTTTGCCATTTCCTCATTTTTTTTCTACATAAACCGCCGAACGATTGATTTGCTTTTTAATACACCAGTTAGAATTGTACCGGATGTTATTCTCGAATCAATCTTCAAAACGCCTGCACTTTTCATATGGTGATTTGCTTTCATGACTTCAACCGATAGAAGTTTTTTATTTGAATCGTCGACGGTTTGCAGTGTTAAAAAACCACTGACATTTTGAACGAAACAAAGAAATTAACAAGTTCAAAGTCGACGTAATATTTCAAGCGATTTTTTTTCCTCTTCTCAGCAACTATTTCTTTTGTTGGATTTGTAAATTGAGACAATTCAGACATGTGCCCAGACCACAAATATGTCGACAATTAGGAATAAACACACTCTTTGAATGTAGCTGGAGGAGGATGAGTGTGCAAATTCTTCTTTTTTTATCACATATAAAAAAAACAGCCGACTAACAACAGCATAATTCTCGATAAGATCTTTTTTTTTGAATAGCATGATTAAACAGTGTACATTAGTACTGAAAAGCATTTTCATAATGATAAAAAATTAAAAACAAATAACGAATGCCGTATAAACATGCTTATCGTAGGCTGAATGAATAAACATCAAAATATTCGGTGAATATGTTAATGTAGCAAATGTCTGGCGTTATTCACCATTTTCGATAAGAATTGTTATAAATAAATGACACATTTTGATGATGCATCCGTTATGCAATTGCAGAAGAACTGTCGAAAATCATATTGCTACGGTTCGATTGATTCACTCAGTGAATTTCACTGTACTTGATACATTTTCAAAGGTTAATGGTTCTAAATGAACGCAAGCAATGGATCAAAGCTAAAATGTGAATGAGTGAATAATTGAATGACAACGCATTTTTGGTAGTGTGTGAATGGCAGACACGTGCTCGACATGGAAACATAAACCGATGGAATGTTTCTTCTTCTTTTAGTTTTTTCTTCTTCCAGTTTTTTCTTCTCTCTTGTTTAGACACTGAACACCAATTTTATGGGATGGAATGTAATCATTAGTAAAATGAAGTAGTTTGTTGAGTTCGATGGAGACTCTCAAATTGGATTGGAGTGTTGTTAATAAAGAAATGGAGTTTTCAGGAGATTGCGGTTGGATTTTGATGAATGTTTATACTTTTTTTTTTATAGAAGAATTAATTCACAATGACAGTATTGAACTCGTCCAACCAGCGCTTGAATTGAACTAAAACTAGAATATATTGTCACAGAAATAAAGTCGGACCATCGAATTTCAAACGAAAGAATTCGACGAATTTGTGTACTAGACTAAAAAAAAAGAAGCAAATTTTGCATAATTTCAAGGATTTCAAATGAAACTCAAACTAAAGTTACATGTGTCAAAAGTCATAAATTTAGAGAAAAGTAATGGTCGAAATGTGACCTGATTTTTGGACTTGTCTTTGGTCGTTCGATGCACCTCTAGGCCAGCGATGGTCATAGAATAATTGTGTATTGCTTGTGAAATATGCAAGCAAATACATGTGTTCTCTTCCGTTTTAGCTCGAATTTTGTCAGCTAACACGCACATGTGTTGTAAATTTGTTGACAAAACCGAGAAAAAAAAGAAAGAAACTGAGCAAAACAAAAAAAATATTGAGTTGCATTGAGTCGCAACATTCATACTGATATTGTTACAATGCAAACAGAAAAAAAAAACCGAATCACAAAACAATTCTTACCCGTTCTTACGTTACACTTGCGGCGTATCGATTCTGACTTGGTAATAGAATTGTTTTCGGCCGCTCAGCGATGGCAAGTCGATTTATTTGCTGCCTATTTGTTTGGTATTTGTTGCGATGGCAAAAAAGAGGAGAGAAAAAAAACAACAAGAATATACAAAACAATCAGAGCACACCAACACACATTCGAATGCGGCGTTTCGGCCTAATTATTTATTTACAATTTTAATGTTTATTTATGTCAATTTTTATCCATGTTTTTTTTTTGCGCCGCGCAATCATCATCGTAATACATTCGTGCAACGTTTGGTTTCGATTTGGCACAGGCATGCATAAACGGTTCGGTTCGTATCAAATGTCGATTCAAATCACATCAGAAAAAAACAAAACACATGACAAACATGGACAAAGTGAATGATTGCACTCCTTTTTATATGGACACTCTCACTGTGTGTATGGATAAAATTCGGTCGGGTTGAATCAATATTCGCATGCGGCAACAAACCGAATCATCTTGATCGATGAAAAAAGTTGGGACAAGCATTTCTCCAAAAAAAAAAACAAACGAATAGAAACTCTTTACACATAAACACAATATAATTGGAAACTCACAGGCAAGATACTCCGTTCGAACGACAATAATAAGACACAACGAAAATAAAAACTAAACTATGATCATGACCAAAAATAAAATAAAAAACAGAAAAGAAAAGCAAGACGTTTTGTATTGTTCGGCGTTATCACAATTCAATTTACGTTCATAATTGTGGCTTCGTCAAGCACTCACTGCGAACTGAATAGCGGCCGAGACATAAATAATTGTTTTGTTATATTTTTTGTTGGTGTTGTGTGTTGTTGTTTTGGCGAAAGAACAAAAATATATGCAAGGAACAGCACAGAATCGAAACGAAATGAAAAATTAAAGGAAGAATGTGTGTTGTTGTGCTATGGGCCGTCGTCGTTGTCGTTGTCGTTGTTGCTGCTGCCGTTTGTGCCTTCACATTTCTGTCTATTGACTTTGACGCTAAATCATTTATTGGCTTTAAACCGAGTTAAATGAGAGAAAAAAAAGAACACTACATGGCTTTTGTGTACATATTGCCGAGAAGCGGGCAAAATGAAAATTGTATTGGCGAGAGAGAGAGCAGCTACGATGAAGCTGCAATGGCTACAGAGGCCGATACCGAGCCGTACAATACACAATTTTTATGTTTTTCGTTCGTTCGTTCGTTCGTTTATTCGTTCGCTCCATTCGCTGTACGTATATAAGTGACAAGAACGTAGCAAAACTAAAAACGATATATGTTGAAAGACAGAAGAGCAATACGAGAAGCACACGCTTACAAACGCACACACACATACAAACTTAAACGTTCCCGCATGCTCTTTCTCTCTCTATCATTCGCTTCCCTTCTCTCTCTCTCTCTCTCTCTCTCTCTCTCTCTCGTGTACACTCACAGCAGCTTCACTCACAGAAAGAAACAAAAACCATACCCGAAAACGGTCTTTACAATCAAATTCCGAATAATTATACAAATACGAAATTCGAAGCATTTGTGGCGAGTGTAATGGATCTTCGTGTTATGGTGCTATTTTCGTTTTGGGATATCCACTCAGGCACCCAGATTATTTTATCAGTGATGGCATTTTCAGTGAAAATGCATAGCATGATAAAAAAAAAGGTTCTCCCGGAATATGGATATGCGTAAGAGAGCCGTTTTGCGTCAAATATTCATCCAGAGGCAAAATTACAATGTTTGCCTGTGGCAAGAAAAAAATAAATAATACAAATAGATTACATTACCCGCGTGGTGGTACATGGAAAAGTACGGCTGACATTAAACTCAAACATAAATCATTGGATTGTGCGCGGAAGAAATGAATTGAAAACATTCGATGGTAATTTCCCCATGTGCGTCACCAATAATTGATCGAGAGCTCGCGTGTGTCGAAATTCCATTGGATCTATGGTGATTCGACCGATCAATCGTCTCAAACGACAATGAAATAAGTTTAACGGCAATCGACGCTGCATTTTATCGAATGAATCGCATCAGTTACAAATCGGTTTGCAATCGTGATAAGGCGTCACTAATGCACACACACACAGAGAAGTATACGCGAACTCTTCATATTTAGTGTAGTATATCGAGTTTAGCCGGCAAATTGTATATAATAAAAAATATGGTGCGATCACAATTCTTCGTTATGGTCCGCATATGTTTTGTATCTATCGCCCGGTTTCTGTCGATGATATGCACTCAGCTCATGGGTTATGTGAACAGGCATTTGCATGCACTGCACAATTTAAATCGTGTATTTTCATGTGTTCTTCCGCTTGTTTCGCTTTCATCTGATTCATATGGCTAACCCATTCGATGAAATAAAATGAAAAAAAAAATCATTTCTTCAGAATTCATGTACTGTACATGTGCATTTGTGTGTGTGTGTGTGTGCACGCTTCCGATTGACTCATAACATTTCGTAACCAGTTGTAATCGTGAACTTGATACGACTTTTGCAAAATGGTTTTGTTGTTGTTATTATTTCTGTGTTGAGTGTATTTCTGTCCAGTTGCTTCTCTTCCCACAGCAATATTCCAATTCCGATAAAAACATCTGGCTTGTTGAAACGCACACTCGTACACGCGCTCATTTGTTCATGATATGGAAATGCCACCAAAAATTCGCCTTTTTAGGCACTCTCTCGCACACACTTACAGTCCCATTCATGTTTGGTTCATGATTTTTTTTTCATTTCTCGTTCGTTCACTCTCGTTCCACTGGAATCGCTTACAAAGACAAGAAAAAAAAAACTAAAACAATCCAACTTGACACGACTAAACGCCCAAAGGTAGACTTAAAAATTCAATGAAACAAATCCATTTTTTTTTTACTTTTATTAAATTAGGTTTACATAATAAACGTTAATTTGCTTTTTTGCCTGTGAAATTTTGTATGTTCTATTTTAGTTGTTCAATAAAATGTTAATATCATTAATGTGGTTTCATTTTTTGGTTATATAAAACTAAGGATGTCGCTTGCCGTTTACCACTAATAAAACGGGTTTCATTTTTTTTCGGGAGGGAAGGGGAAGGGGAAAGGGAGCGGTATTGGGCGCGAATTAAAGAAAATTAACTAAACTGCTGATAGAAGAGAAAAAAAAAGTATCAAAATATAATTCGAAACAATGTTCGGTACCATTTTTCAGGTCAAAGGCAATTCAAAAAATCTTCTTTCTTTTCTATCATTTAACAAATTATTTGGGATTTTACTTTTATAACTTCCAACCAACTCTTATAATTTTCACATTTTTTTTTCCTTTATACTTATGAATCGATAAAAATAAAAGTGATCGCTACAGTTTTGGGCGAGGGAAGGAAATGTTATGAATGTAGAAACTGAACTTGATATCCTGACAGAAAAGTCAAAAGTGAATTGGCAATGAAGAATTGAAAAACCAAATTGTTTTGAATAATTTCTAATTTCACACTTTTCCTCGAAAATAAAACCAATGATATTTTATTCCAAAATATACTATACGATCACATTTATTTCTAGCGATTCATTTCATGTTCCATTTCCACTAGTATATTCTCGATGTTGCTCAACAATGAATTATCAGCCAAATCAAAATCATTGATCCATTCATGGATCCATTCATTCTCCGGCTATATTGGATTTTGAAATAGTTGTTTAGTTGATTTTGATTCAGTCGCTATGTGTGTATGAACGATATTGTTTCAGATCAGCTCGGTCTACAAAAGACAATTCTTACATATCTTTTTGTTCGAATTTTCCAGCTTTCGATATATAAAATATTTTTTTTTTTTGTTCTTCATCTCATGTCATCCTTATAGAAATATCTTATTTCATAATAATAGATTCACTGTCTAGGTGTAATAATGTTTTTTTCCACCTTTGAAGAGAGAACTTGACAAAATCCATCCATCGGTGACATTGTCATTGTGAATTATTCTTTTTCTTCTCTTCTCTTGCCACATGTGAATAATTGCAATTTCATGCAATTATTTCATGTGAAAATCAATCGTGTGTATTGTTTTTTGTATAATTTTTTTCTGGGAAATTTTCACCATGTTTTGTTCGCAGCACTTATGAGTTAAATAAATGATTAAATGTTCGCAGGTTGTTATAGATCAGTTATAATTGTATGTCTGTGAAAGCAGTTGTGTGCTGCACACGTCGAATTGTTGATGCTTTTTAGCGTGTCTATTTACATGCAAAGATTCTTCAAAAACTTCATGTTTCAATAATAAATTAGTCGAAAAAAATTGTTAGTGTCTTTAAAAAAAAAATTACAGAAAGACAAAGAAGAAACTTAATACGAGAAATAGAGACAATTTTTCAATACAAACATGCAACGGCATAATATAAAAAAACGATAGCACAAGTTAAAAAGTGGAGCTAAGAGATTGTAAACGGATTTTCTCAATAAAAAAAAAGAAGATTTGCTCTGTTTGTTTCTTTTTTTTTCTCTCTAGATAAACAATTGATACTTTTTAGCATTGAAAAATTGTCCAAAATAAGTTAATAAATTTCTTTTTCTTATTGCCTTATAACCTATATCCTACAGTTAAATAATTTCATACTAATGTTGTTCGTTACAATTTCAATATGTTTTGTGAAAATGTGAAGGCAAACAAGAGAAAGAGAGAAAAAAAACACGCTATTTAGCTCATTAGTTGCCTTAGGTAAAACAAAACGAAAAAGAAAATAATTATAAAAATGAAATAAAAAAAATAAAAAATAATTGCGATAGATAGACAGAAAATAAACAACAATTTAAGAGTTAGAGTTAGAGTGGGGCGGAGGAGCGCAAAGCTTAGATAGGCGGAAGGGCCCATAGGGTGGCGGTTTTATCAGCTGACGTCGATAAGAATGAAAAATCGGTTGGATGCCAACGTCCAGATATCACTTTGTCTGTGTGCTGTGCTACAACCACTGATGGTAATGGCATCGTAAGGTCACCTTGCAAATCGGTCAACACCAATTTATTGTCATATCCGCCGGTGAGCAAGTAGTATGCGGATGGTGAAAACCGTATCGACCTGCAAATGAGATAAAGAACAGATGAATGTGTTAAAAAGTGTTTGATCAATGTAATGTGCGGCTCTTTCGGATCAAATGATTTTACCTTATGTCAGATGAATGCGGTTTGAAGCACTGAATTGGACGATTTCCACGAATATCATACAAAACGCATGAACTGTCCTCGTGACCAGACACTAGCAAACGTCCCGATGGATCAACACAGACTGCAGTTACCGGTGAACCTTGACGCGAACCGGGCACAGTAGCTGGTGTCACTGTATTAACACATCCGCGGGTTCGTAAATCCCAGAAACGAACAGTTTTATCCTATAAAAATACAAAAAAGAAACCATCAATCAATGAAATTCGAACGTAAATCAATTGGGTGCTTCGAAATACCGAAAAAAATTTAAAAACTCACCTGTGAACCAGACACAAACATAGCACCACCCCAGTTATATAAGGTGAGTATGTGTCCGCCGTGGCCGCTGAGTGCTTGGAATGGTGTCGATGTAGCGCAATCTGTAACATAAATTTTACAGTCGCCGGCGCCGCCACTTATCAATAAACTGGTTTTGTTTGTGCTATCCTCGAGGAAGCAAAGATCACGAACGGTACCATCATGCATTGTCAATTCGATCTCTTTGCCCTCCAATTGCTTTTGTACTTCATTGTAGCGCATCAATTTTACGGTCTTGTCATTGGATCCGGTCGCAACTAAATCACCCTGTGGTGACCATGCCATACAATAAATTGAGCCTTTGTGATGTTTTGTTCGCTTGAACAGCACAGTCGGCTGATACGTCGTGTGCTCCTCTCTGTGTATGAAAATAACGCACATTTTAATATTTAGTTTAGGAATTTGCAACTTTATTTTTTTTATTCAACACACAAAATCTACTTTTGAATGATGGTGTGATGGACGTCTGAGAATAAAAAGAAAATGACATACAGATCATTCTTTTATTGGTTTTAACCGATAAAAGACGAGTTATTTTCTTTCTCTACATAATTTAACCGAATAATAGAAATATTGCAAAATCATTTCCACTCAATGGAGAAATGTGGAACAGAAAGCATCTCGATGTTCTACTTAAATTGTCCTATTTTTATTCTCAGTTGGTGTTTTTTTTTCCTTCATTTTTGCATACAAACAGAAAAACACGTTTCTATTTGAACATGATGCAATACATTCGTTTGAGACATATCACTTATATGTAAGATGTGTGTAACACAAGCAACGAACAATTTGTTCGGTGATGAATGATGGGAAATGCTACACATTCACAATGTTTAAAGCATCAATGAGATATTATTACAATATACTTGATCCGAAATATTGATGATTCGCAGATACAAATGAATGAATGTATGAATGTCGTCGTCAGCAGCAAACAAAAATGACTTTGACTTTTTTTCTTCAAATTTTGACGTACATTTTACAACAATTTTCGACATACAATTGTTTATTTTAAATTCCAAATTTTTTTGCCAGTACTTCATTTTAATTACATGCACAATGTGAGTCGTATGTTTATTTGTGAGCTTTTGATTTGTGAGTCGGTTCAAGTGCAAAGAAAAACTGTGTGCCATTGCCAATAAATACTCAACAGCTAAATTCTGATATGGAAAAAGTGTTAAATTTTGGATGTTTGATCAAAATTTGAACCAAACGTTAAACAATTTGTCTACTTTTGAATCAATTGTGTTGATGAACTCAAAGGTAAACTGGTGCATTTTGATTTGCCAATTCAGTATGATTGTGATTCATGGTGCTCATGCAATTTGAAATTGAAAAACATATAGAGAATAGCTAAGCGAACCGATGAACTGATGCAGTCGAAATGAAATAGAGAGACAGATAAAAGAGTGCGAGAGTATATAACTCAAGCAAATGAACTAACCTCAGTGAATCCAGCATACTAAGGAGTATACAATGTTTTTTGTTTCAGAAAAAAAAAATTTAGTGATTCGATTGGATTTGTTCGAATTTGGTATTCATTTTATTTAATTCGTAATTATTATGTTCATGTAAGTGCGGAGGAGGGGGAGGAGGTACATGAAAAGAAACGAGAATGTAAATATTTATATTAGAATTAGTATTGGTGTGTGTGTGATTTCGAAAAAAGAAGCGTTTTACTGTCATAAAAGAGATGAATTGTTTTCCGTGTTGTGTGTGTGTGTGTGTGTGTTTGTATGAGGGAACTAAAGAAGAAGCCCGAAAAGAATAAATGATACAAAAGAGTGCCGTTAATTAAGTAAACGGCCGAGTGTTGTTGTTGTTGTTTTTATGCTGTTTAGAACTGGATTGAAAAGACGGAATTCTCTTCGTCATGTGAAGAAGCATTGAAACGCTTTTAACTGCTTATTATGGATCTATGCGCGGAATCGTTGCTCGACGACTGACGATTGCGTGAGTTACTGGCTTTGTTGCACATTTCATTATTATTATGCTGCATACAAGAAACCGGGCGGGCATAAATGATATAATTAACGATGTGAGTGTTCATTTTTGCTGTTGTTTTGTTGACGAAACAACCAACAAACGAGTTGTCAGCTCAATGCTCGTGAGGAGCGCCACTCATTCGTTCTTTTAGTTTAAAATTAATTACAACATTTTATGTTCTAATTAATGGCAGTCATATCAAAATTGTTGGTTTGGCAATCTGACAACTAAAAATCTCTTCTTGCTTGCGATTTGAAATGTATGAGCGTGTGTATGTGTGATTTGGTCTACACAACATGGAATGTGTTGCTTAAAAATTTGGGTCATAGACCAAACTTTTCGCTTAGTCGTGAAATATGCGTTGAAATAAGCGTAAAATATAGAACAAAACCAAAATTGTATGAAATACAATCGAGCTCATCGTCAAAAGAATTTCCATTTTGTTCGGAAAGAAGAAAAAAACGAGACAAACAATTACACCGTTATCAGCTAAATCTTTAGTCATTCGTTTGTGTTTCACTAGATGAGATGGCTCATCCCATTGAAAGACGAGAAAAAAAAAACGAAAATCTTTTCGACTCTGGAATATAATGGTACGCGCGTGAAACTACCAAAAAAATTGGTCGAAAGTGGTAAGAGAATGTTTCAACATGATTATTAACTTGCTTTCGGGTGATTGTGGAAAAATTGGCCTGAAAATTTCTTGACAATGCCGATGATGCACGCATGATGAAAAATTAATCGCACGCAATGGCTTATAGCACGTGTCTGGATTTGAACTTATTTGATCCGTTTCAGTATTTTCGACATGGGTGTGAACCGAACATCAATTGCATTATTATCATCAAAATAAACGTTCGCGGCATCTGTCATGGCAACGTCGATTAGCCGTCGAACTTGTACACATTATATTGTGCTTTGTGTCTGCTATTACAAAATCGTTACAATAAACTGGACATGACTAATGGTCATTTCAAGTTCGTCGTCATCTTACAAACACACATCCACACTAGAGTTGAATTCACCGTTCTCCAACATTCGCATTTTTCACTGCGTGCGTGCTCGTGATTCATCAAGAAGTTTTCCAAGCCAATTAAATTAGATCGCTTCATGCGTTACAAAACTTGAATATCTATGAAAAAAAAAGATTTTATAACGATTTTTTAATCTTCATAATTTCTTCAACGAAAAGAAGCCTGAACTGATGAAAATGATCACCAGCTGCTCATACACACACAAACACAAATGCTAATCTCTATACGATCACGCGCATTATTATTGATTGCCATTCTGTTGCTGTAGTTCGATCTATTCTAATGTTAATGTAAATTGTCAGACAGTATTAATGGGTGCCGCTGTTTCATTGTAACACCTTATCTCATCTCCAATTTTCTTCTTCTCTATTTTATCCCATATTCTGTGCGTCACTCAAGAATTATAAGAAGAAGCAAAAAAAAAACAAGCTACCCATTGGAATGTTGTGTTGAGTTTGTGCAATTAATAACGATTGTTACACGAGATCAATCAACGGATCTATAAATTGTGGCGGCAACTATTCGCGATTAGGTTACTAGAATTAGGTTAAATCTTTCTGCGCGCATGAATATTTTGGCACAGGTCGCCGCCTTCTCTTGTGCCAAGATCGCTTAACAGTCGTCGTACATATATTGAGCGGGCACTATCGATGCGTTCATTTGTGGGAGTGCGATTGGGTAAATGACAATGTTTGTGTTCAATATGTGTACGATGACAGCTTTGAGCATTCAAAGCGTAGAGGCGTCTTGGCGTCTTACGTCAAACCTTTCCCATGTATTTGTATACGAAGAAAGCGACGTTGCCTGCGCGATAAACAAAAAAAAACCTCATCGTGAACTCATGGTGAAATGGAGAAAACACATTTCTTCACCGTTTTATGAGTGAAGTATTCGAAAAGTTGCCCATTTCTTCCTGTTCTCTTTTCAATGAATCACGAAGCTATTGGATTATTTACCTGATTTCTGAAAGTGATGGATATTCACATATCCGGAATGTTTTCGAATTTGAGCCAACCGAATAGACACGTCCACTGGGATGGAATTCGGCACAACGAACCGCTTGCACATCTTCCAATGTTGTGACAGCTACAAAGCGTGGTCGACTCGGATCATTTTGATGATGAATCTGGAGTTGGGAGAGAGATAGAGAGAGAGAAAAAAAGGAGAAATTCGTTAATTAAAATCACAAAAAATACTTTTTTTTCGTTTTTGCTTTCGTTTGCAAAGTACAAAGAGTCATCATTGCTTTTTGAGTTGTGTTTCCCGTTTAGTTAACATAAAATGCATCAAAAGATATTCTTTGTTCAACATCTGAAATAAATTGAAAATATTTTCACCAACCAGATAATAGTAAAAACCGAAATTTCCCCGCATTCGTTCATCGAGGGATTTTTATTTGGTTTGCAACTGTTTTTTTTTCTCGGTCGATTCACAAGATTTCAATGGAATGAAAACAAAAACACGTAACGAGCATGAGCCAACCATGCAAAAGTTTACGCATTTCTGTGTTGATTTTCCACGTTGCTACAAAACAATGCAACATTTGAAAAGCGAAATTTTCACGCATTCCGTGTACATGCGAAAAGAATTCTCAAACCGGGGCGAAATTGCTTTTGAATGCGATGCAAAACGTACGTTTTTGTTTTCGTATTTTACAAGAATGGTAAAAATGAATCGCTCGCTTGCACCTTCTAGCCATAAATTTGTTTTGATTTTGATTTTGTTAATTTTACGCTTTGCATTGTACCAAAAGAAAATGCGCGAATATTATTTCTTTCAATATCAATGATAATTTTCAGTTCGCTCGAAGAAGAAAATAACAATAAATTTCTGCGAAAACAGTTGAAATCGCTGAAGTATAAATTTCATTGATGAATTGAGTTATTAAAAAATACGCAATGATTTTAAGCGTGCCGTTTGTAGCTGTCAAGTGTGATTGAACCAAAGCTGAGTGAATGGCATGAATAAACACTTTCAATGGCAGCGCATACAAAACGAAGACAACTGCTTCGCAGTAGTCCCGCTGAACGATGACGGCAGCCATTTGAAAATAATACCACTTTGAAATAAAATACCAATCAAAATGCTGATTAATTATTGAACACCGTCCATTGGAAACGCTCAAAATAAAAAACTCACATCTCTCAATTAATTTTCCATTTTTATCAACGCTGAAAAAAAACCAATTTGATTTTGAATTGTATCTGAGTGGTGTCGATCACTATTTTAAAATGCAATTTCGATCATAATCAAATGTGCCTTTTTAATAGCGCATTGCCACTGTCAATTTCCATCTCTTCACTCGCGAAAGACAATAAAATCATGTCCATAATTTTTTTTGCTTTTTATTACTCAATCCCTCAGTTCGACAATCATGACGACGTCCATTATACATGGACATCGCAGATGGTGTGTTTTGTGTTCAATATGGGAAAATGCGCGTCATAAAGTGAAAACGCGAGAGAGATAGAGAGAGGTAGAGAGAGAGCATCACCGTGATTGAATGAGAAAGATAAGCACTGACGGGCAGCGAGAAAAAAAAGAGAAATGCCAAATCACCCATTTATTATTTTCGCTTAAGATGTGTTGATCGCGATTGAATAAAACTTATCAATTTACAATAAACACATCGCGCATACGCGATATATTTCCAGTCTGCACGCATTGTAAATGTTCAGATTTAACGATTCATACGGTAATCAATGGTGAAATTTGATCGTTTGTTTCCGCTCTTCATCTGCAGACATTTTTTTTTTCTGCCTGTCGGAATTTCGATCATTTGCACTTTATATTTATTGGATGGAACAGAAACGAAATGAAATTTGAAAAAAAACAAATTCAAGATTTTATCGAGTTTATCTCAATGTGAGTGGGTCTCAATGACCAGTTCGATTTTTGTATTGTTGGCAATATTTTAGATTAACAATGGCAACTAAAGTCATCAACAATTTAGTGGCTTGCATGCATCCATATGGTAGCAACAAATCGACTCGTAACAGCCAATGATAGGCTCTCTTTCGCTCAAAAATCTCAATTACCAACGAGAACAGAAGAAACAACGGAAACATTCCAAATGGAATAAATCAAACGAAAAACTCGTTTCGACCTGAGCCAATTGTGCAAAAAATGGTACATTGCTGCTGTCGTAAATGGCAAAACAAAAAATGTATCATTTGGAGCATCGGTTCAATTAACCAGCAGTAACCAAGTGATCATTTTAATTGCAATTTGGTTCCATTTTCTAGGCTTGTATCAGTTTTGGTCTCGTAAAAATCAAGATGTGAAATTGAGAATCGTGACCGAATTTCATTTGTTGTTCTTTCGACGAAATCCACAAATTGTTGTGTCGCACAATTTGATACCGTTTTGCAGTCCAATGCAAGACAACAACTAGAAGAAAAAAAACTATGAATCACGCAAAGAATGAAACAGACAAGAAAAATCTCATTTGTCGCTTTCTAATTGCAATAATAATAATTCATTTTTCTTCAGTCGTCGTTGAGTGTATGTGTGTGCAGCGCTGCTTTGCTTACATCAATTCTTCAACACTCGGACCAGAATGGAAGAAAAACGGTTCTTTTCGTTAATACCATTTTGGTTTTGTTTTGTTGTGTTTTTCTGTGTATCTTTCGCTTTTTTCATATTCACGCTATCCGATTCAAATGGTATTCTGTTTCTTCTAGCCCATGGTAGAAAATAGTGCAATTTATAATTTAGCGTAGTTTTAATGACGAAATAATGTTGTCTTCATAACATAATTACGATCAGATGACATCTCACGAAGGCACAAATTACTAACGATGAGAATTACTGAAAATGTACACGTTTTTTGTTTCTTCTGCTGTTTGTTGTTCCCAACGAAGCAGCGAAATGTAAAGCAAGAGGTAGAAGAAGAGTGAGTTTCTCTCGATTTATTTCCCAATTCAATGCTGAACACCATTCTGACCGCGAGGCTGGAAATTACTTTTAAATCCAAATTATAGCCTTAAACAAATAAAAAACTGTATTTTCAACTTCCGGTTTTTAGCACTCGCGTGTCGAAGACCAACCAATGTCGGTTGATTCCCTTTCAAATGCAATGCAAAACCACAACGATAAGGATGCACTGAATTGTGCATTGAAAGCATGCAACATTGTATGGCTTGCATCGGATAACGTGAGTTATCTTGATTTGCAAATCACACACACACACCATTCAATTGCAATTAAATCATAACATTTTCCACTCGATTGACTTATCAACAGAGCTGAAAATGATTGTAATCGATCTGTGATTTGCGTTCATTCTAACACAAAATGGATTGCATTCCACGCAAACCATCCAATTAATGGAGTGTTCGATGTAACGAAAACCCAAAAAATATGAAACCGAAACCATGTCGCGTGTATAAACAATGCAATTTGGTTTGGTTTTGCGTTGCTCACCGGATCACACACTTCGATCTTCTTCTTTTTCTTATGTAATTGAACTGTTCGTGTTGTTTGCATTGTTTACGCATAGCTCGTGCTCTCGATTCAAATTTTTGAACGGACTGCGAAAAACAACATAGCTAAGGAGCTGCCAAACGTGAAGATATTTCGCCGATTATTGTTAGCGTGTGTACGAATTTACACATTCTTGAAGTTTTACTTCTGTGTTATTCGTTTCTCTCATCGGTTCCCAAGATCTCTTTGTTTTACGTAATAATAATGAAAAAAAAAACAGAAACAAAACGCTTTTCATCAGCGTTGAAAACATCTGCGCGAGCAGCCAAAACGACACTTTTTCTACACATCACATCAGTTTTGTGGCATTATTTGGGTTGTGTGTTGCAAAGTGTCGAGTCAGCCCAAAACATTGAAACGAATTTAACAAAATTACCAAAATAGAAATGAAACGAAAGAAGAAAAAAAGATGTGCAAAAATGAATCTGGACCAAATAAGACGAGTGAGTGAGAGAGAGAGAAAGAGAGAGAGAAAAACGTAAAAATAAAACCGTCAAACAAACACTCAAATAAGGTAATGAGATATGTGGCGGTAAAGTATTTCCAGGTTAATGATGCTTTGTTATGATTTCATTTCGAACCTGCTCATGCTAGCCCGTTTACGCATATTTTGCCAGTGATTCTGTTTCTTTCTTTCTTTTTTCACATTGTTGCTAACATCCATACACTTTCATGAGTCATATGAACAAACCGACGAGAGAGAGAAAGAGAGAGAGAGAGATAGAAGACGCAAAGTCCACGGGAAATTCTCCATAATTTTGGTTTTGTCATATTCCATGGCATGGAACGTGTAACTTGAACTGGTTGGTATAGTTTGGTCGGTAGAAGATAATGTTCTGTTGTTGGTCGCGGTTGTTTATTTCGCGCGTTGGATCCCTATTTGCGTTTACTTGCACGCTGGAATTAATTTTTATTGTTTCAATCGTATGATGTGTGATTGGTGTTAGCCATCATATTGTTCATCATTTTATGACCACACAGTATTAAGAAATGCATGGCAGACAAAATGAAGAGAGAGAGAAACAAACGGTGCCAAAATATATCGTGCTATTCCGGATCTGTTTCATCTTTCTCTTTTGGCTAATGAAGACAAGCATCGTCTTAATGGTGCATTGTGCGAGCTCAGTCAACAAACTAAATGGCATGGCCGTATGTATATCGAAAGCAGATCAATTGTCAGCGTTCGTTTTAAGTTACGTAAAATACTGGATTAAACGAAACAATATTGCCAGAGAGAGATGTATGGCATTGCGACGATATTCACAAACAATCAATTCGATAAACGATGGTCATATGCATTGGCGCTTAACGGACGCGCGAGCGCTCGCACAACCACACACCTCAAATTCGCACCAATCTCAATTGAATGGAAATGAAGGCGAAAACAACTAAATCAATAAAAATAATTTTACGTAATTTTCAGCGAAAAAAAACCGAGAATACTATACGCCAAACGAAACGAGAAGCGAAGAAAACCGACGAAGAAAAAGAAAAGAAATAAAATACGCAAGCGCAAAAAAAAATCCAAGTGACAAACAAATGAAATGAAAATTGGTTTTTACTAGAAACACAAGAGAGACATTCAAATGATACGCATTGTGAAATGTGGTGTGACATTCACTTTTAAAGATATATTTAGTTCATTTAGAGCTTAATTTGTCCCCGGCATGTTAAATACACTTTTAAAATGCAAAGATTTAATTTCTTTTCCGTTTCTTTTCATTCCACACTCGCTTTGCGATGGTGATGATGATGAGAGATATGCATCATTTTGTCTAATTCGGTTTCTTTTTTTCGGCTAAAGTGTTTCACTGTGACATGAGGTTAAATGCTATTTTGCATCTACATGAAAAATTAGTTCATTTTTTGTTGGATGTTCGGTTTCGAGTCTTTTGAAAATCCATGCGAAAAAGTATGAAATATCAAAATTTGCATGCAATATGCTATTCAAACTCTATTTTTAATCATCGAAAACGTCTTTATTTTCCAATCATCACCTGAACGAGGTCAACTTTAATTCAATACAATTGGAATGGGTCAAACACTCAGAATGGCTCCGCGCTTCTTGCCAGCGATAGACAGAGCGCCGCGCACACAAAAGATGCGGCTACCAATGCGAGATAAGCGAAAATTGAAATCACAACAACCGCATGAATAAATGATCCGAACAAAACAGTTGGCGTTAAGCGGAATTTGAAAAGTGAAATTTTATTCGATTTACTGTTGGTTTTATTTCATTCGAAAGGAATATGGCTCAAATACGAAACGAAATTAAGTCACTTTTACAAACAGAGACAGCAAAATCAATTTAACATCAATATTAAGAGATGGATCCATCGATGGCTCACATCATCACAGCGTTGTTTGGAATTCCGGTTGATCACTTTTAATGATTTTTAATGGAAGGCAATTTTCTGAAGCGTCTAAGTGCTAACCACATGAACAATGGTCATTTGGTAGTAATTGTTTTGTGTGAATGAGTATTGTGGACGCGCATCGAAGAATGGAAAATTTCGTGCAACTTTTCCTTCTATTCGCTTCTAGCGAGCCCATTGATTCAGCGAGAGAGTGGTTTTGATTATCGAGTACGGCCAACTTTGTTTTTTTTTTTTAGATGGAAACGTTTAGACATACAACTTTTATTCTTTGTAATTTTGCAAAACGCAATTTCTCTTTCCGATGCAATTCAATTTTATGCAATGCGCAGGTGAGCGCGCGAGTGGCGCGTTAGAGCGAACATGCATTGATGGCACTTGCCGAACAACCAAAAGACTCGAGAGCTAGGTAAATCGAAGTGGATCTCAAGTTGAAATGGTGAGACTGTAATGTGCACAGTGTACAAACAATTGAAAGCATTCTCGCATTTCTCCCTTTCTTTCTGAACCTTTTACACGTTACTACATCTGAACTGAGCGAAAAATCTTGAGACGTATGTTTGTTCACTCATTCGCGCTGATGCGCACACATACACACACAATTTTATTAGTCTCTCTATTTCGCTGCGTGATTAAATTTCTCAAATTCGCCTGGGTAACTTTCTTCTCTGAACTTTATGCAATCTTGCTTTTTCCAGTGCAACTCTTAGTACATATATGTCGAAGAAGAAGAAGAAGAAGACGACGACGACGATGAAGAGAAAAAAATTGAAGCACATTGAATGTGGTGTGTGGCGGTGGAGAGAAGTAGAAGAAATTATGTTACAATGCATATTTTTGAAGTGAAAGTTTCCACACAAGATAAGAGCACCCGCCGTGCACCGATTATTCATACGGTGGTTTTGTACTTTGGCATCAACAGCAACAGTATCAACTACTTCTTTTCTTTCTTCATTTTTTCACTTCTGCCACATATCTGAGCATGATGACGGGCTGTCAGTTGTAGACATTTATCTCTTGGTTTTTTGGTGTTTTTTTTTCTGCTTCAAACCTCTTTTCTGTTTCGTTTGTGCTATTGTCTATTATGACTTAATTTATGGAAATTTCCCCGCTGAATTGATTTATTAATCAGCGACAAACAAATCCGCGCTGAGAATGATGAATGGCAACATAACCGACATTCATTTGACAAATAAAAAAAGTATAGCGAAACAACAGCAAATAATAGAAGGCAAGAAGAAAAAAACAGGAGCATCAATTTAGATTGTGAATAGGCCGAAATATTTGTGATGAATATATTTGTATTTGCTTAAAAAAAAGAGAGAGAGAGAGAGATCAATGATATTCGATCGAACCTGAAAACGTTTGCCGAAACTTGAGGTTTCTACTTCGAGTAAATTGTCCATGGATCGTCGAACGCCGTGTTTCAAGAGATTCAATGGGCCACCGGTACCGCCGCCATTGCCGCCGCCGTTGTTAAGCCGGTTCTTTTTGAATTCATTGTAATTCTCCTTATTGTAAGTGGGCCAATCGGTAACGATTTCGGTTCGCACATCTTCCATTGATTTCGATCGAATGCACGTGGCACATGATGATCGAAATACGGGCGATGTTTGTGTTGGATTTCGTAATTTTCGGAATCGATTTTTCTCTTTTTCTTGTGGCATTAGCATGAGATTACCGTTGTTCGGTGGATAATCGGTTGTGGTGCGGCCATAAAATGAACCACTGCTGCCATTCGATGGTGGCGGCGATGGCATTGCTAGGCTATTCTTCATATACGGCTGTGAAATGAGATAGTAATTTTTCGCATTTTTCTTGTTTGCTAAATTCATGGCCGACGCATATTTTCCTTCGGCTGCAGCCGCTGCAACCATGTTGAACTGATGAAAATTGAATTTGTTCGCTCGACCATAAATGGAATTATTGTAGCCGTAATGATTGCCATTGAAATTGTTATAGTTGAGTTTGGTGGGCGGTGGTGGTGGTGGTGGTGCAGCAGCAACAATAGCGCCCGTGCTTAACGCTTGATATGTAGCCATTTGTGCCCGAGACATCGGAGTTCGGTACATTGGAGGCCACGGCCGAAGCGCATTGCCACCTGTGTATCGTTTGGCCGACGACAAACTCGACGGTGCATGTGATGATGGCGCCGAATAATAGCCCTTGTTTGATTTGTAATTTGGAATATCTCCGCTCACCATTTTCACTTAATTTTTTGTTCAATCTTCGCTTTATTTTTATTTTCTCGTACAAAACAATCAGAGAGACTGAGAATTGATGATATGACAGAAACAAATAGAAAAAGAGAGTTTTTCTTCTTTTTTTTTTGAAGTATACACTCCACAATTACCGCTTCTCAATTTAATCTCGTCGTTGAACTTTGTGCATTGATTGTTATATTATTGTTGTAGTTGTTGTTGTTGCTCTTTGCCTAATTAATTATCGTCTGTTCAAGTGAAGACTTTCTGTACAACACATTTACTTTCACTGAAATTAAATGAAATTTGCATCCAAATCAGTCCTTTTCAACACGTTTACGCCGACCTCACAATGATTTACCAACTTGAAAAAACAATTGAAATTTATTATTCACACTCAAGCCAAGCACACACATATAAACACTCACACAGCACCCCTCGATTACGATAGTTACATAAATTTGACTGTAATTAATGTAATTCGCAGTCTGTCTGTGATCTTTTTCGTATTATTTGTATTATCGGCGAATCAGTTTTCGGATTAAGCTATTAAATTTCACACAACATTCTTCTCACTATCATCGAATTTTCTTCTCTGTTTTTTTTTTCGTTCAACAACAGCACAAATGGAAAATAAAACCCGACGTGCGCAGAAAGCAACGCAAAAATTGAAATGATTTATAGCGGTTTGCTGTTTTTTGGAATTTCACATGTCAATTTCTTGTGTCTGAGTCTCTTTTCATATTCGATTCCCATTGAAATCATACAAAACCAACGAAAATGAAATAATAACTTCTAGTTTTTGTTTCTTTCTTCGAGAATTCTTTTACTCTATTGCTTGTGATGTTCACCGTATCGAATCAGTCATAATAGTCATAAGTGTGGCTAGATGCGCTCTCTCGCTCTCAACAACACTACACCGGTTTCAACTTTTATGTTTATATATGTAATTCCAACAATAATAGCTAACTGTTCCAGCGCATTCATACACAATAGTTAATAAACGAATTCGTATTTTGCTCAACTTCTATCTCACTCACACTCTAAATGTGTGTGCGCTCGCGTTTCGATTCTCAACCAAAAATAATAACAGTAGAATTGTATTCTTGAATTTTATTCACTTTTTGTTTGGGTCTAATCGTTGAATTGTCTACTTTTCGTCTGTTCTTTCAATGTTCTTCTTTGAGAAAAAAAAAACAAAACAAAACAAGAAGCCAAACTAAACTTCATTTGATTCCAATCGAGATCGATTCTTTTCAATTCAAAAATCGTTTCGCTCAATCAATTCACACACTTCAATAATGTACGGCCGTGTGTATTTTTCTTCATCAAAAAACACATTCGTTGAACTTTTGGACAGCGCAGAAGAAGAAGAAGAAGAAGAAAAAAAAAACCTGTGTAATGCAGTTACTGGCCGTTTTATTAACACTCAAATGTTCGGTTGGCATACGTACACCAAGTTGCATGCCATTCGATGCGAATTATGAATTCATCTCTGCGTGTCTTTCGGATTTGTTTTTTTTTTAATGGAACAAGTATTGCAACATAGTTCTTGACGTTGCCCCGTTTCAGTCTCTGATTACTTTTTTACAAATTGAATTCCTTTGCCGTTGCATCGGCTGGGAGCTTGCGGTATAAAATGGTCAATGGATCTGTAGTGCTACTTCGAAAAACCTGTCGCGCACTCACTCAACAGCAACGCTGATTCTTAATTCTAACGCTAGAATCAAGATCAAACTAAAAAATATTTTCTAGCACTTTATGCACTTTATACGCACACATTGGCACGAGATTGAACGAAGAAAAGTCTTTTGTGCCACTTTGATAAATGCAATGCATAGAAATTAATTATTTTCTATGATGATTTATCGATGGAATAATTTTATTTTATTTTGCTCAAGGCGAAAGGTGTTTCATACTTGAAACAAGTATACGCAATGAAAATATAACCGAAACCAATGGATGGATTCGACGAAAAATCCGCGCACGCACTTAAAAACGAAGCAACAAACAATTCTTAGACGAAGCACAATATTCAGATACGTCCGATATGCTTGAGCTCTATTATTCAACTACTTTCTTGTTTGTGCGCGCTGGGAAAAACGGATCGACCAACAAAACAGTATGGAGTGCAGTACACAATCACTCGAGAGAGCGCACATTTGTTGTTTTCATGTGCGCTGTTGCTGTGTTGTGTGGTTTGAGCGCGCGTACGGTTTTCCAAGCCATTCGCTGCTTTCATAGACCATATCGGTTGTGTGTTTCTCTTGTTTAACACTATTCGCGCGTGCACACGCGCACCAACGCTCAAACACACAGTCGCAAACATCCAAACCGTGCATACGCACACACACACACATAGAGAGAGATTCACGCTCACCGCATAGAACATCAGCGGTGGTGAACAGGCTCATTGCGAGCGCATTTTGGCATTAAAGGTGTGCGAGTAAGAGTTTTTGATCGTAGAGGCAGCAAAGCAGCGCTTATCTATACAACGGAAAACGATTGCAAATGTTAGGAAATGAAGGCTTTTATTCAGCTCACGATCGCACGAGCGAGTGTGTTTGAATGAGCAAACGTGAAGAGACAACAATAGCTCACAGAAAATACGAACAACAAGAAGAAGAAGAGAAAAAAATGGCCATACCGTAGGCACAGATTCAGTGTATCGTTGTTTTTTTTTCTCTTCTGTTGTTGAACATCGATAAAAAGAACAAGAGAGCCGGGAAAAGCCAACCATTAAACAGGTAGAAAATACGTTTAGATAATACACACCGATCGTATGTGTGTGTTTGGAGTTTTGTGAGTGTATGATGGAAACGCGAGCATAGAGATGTTTCGCTTTTGCGCAAAATTTACATTGATACAGAGCACTGAGCGCACTAACCGATTGAAATAAAGAAAGACAACAAGAGTAGTGGCAGCAGTGGCGGCAGCATTAGCAAAGAGAAAAGAAACGACGAAATAATAAAGGCAAGATCAGCAACAGTACCGTGATGCGAAGAACACGTTTTTTTCTTTGCTTCTTCTGTTCGTGTTGGGCCAACGTGTTCGCGATCAGCTTATCGACGGGCCCAGAGACACAGAGGAAATGAAAGAATGTTGCATGAAAAACGATAGAAAGAAAATATAGAAAATAAACGGTTAGAAAATCGTTATTTTTCCCTTCTTCTTCTTCTTCTTCTTCTTTGGAATTTTGAGCAATGTTTTGTAGTCTGATCCCTCTTGATTGTGCATTTTTTTGGCTGCAGACGACGCGATCTGGCTGGCTGGCCGGTCGATCAACAGCCAATTATCTGAAAACCGAAACAAGTGCCTTCCATTTTGAATATAGTGCACATCACAAATGCATGTTGTCACTGGGATACTGAATATTCACCAACAACGGTTTCAAATGGCAGTGCGTAATCCACATTCAGCCGACACGTTCATTGGTTATGCATTGTGCACTGCTCTATGTCGTCGTCGCCGTCATCGTCATTGCACAAACGTAACCGGAGCAACGGATTTTGCGTAAACCGGACGACGCTTAACATATCTAATTAGAATAATAAATAAATCACATCTCCTAATAATGGGCATTTTGCTTCGTCGCACCGAGACGCACATACACATAAACAACCATTTGCATTATTCAATTAAAACGCCATTTGGCAACGGTTCTGTAACTCTGGCGAATTGTGTCACAGGGGGATAAAACAATTGATACGTGAGTGTACGATGCAGTGTATACGGAAAAATGCACATAATCAGTCATAGTAATAAAATCACACCTGCTGAAAATGATCATTACCGTGAGCAGCGGTGTGCATGGCATTAGAGCGCACGGCAGTGCGGTGAAACATGCGAGAGACAACATTGTGTTTATTGTGCGATTCAACTGTACAATGTATGCAGCCGCGCACAACGAACCCAAAAATGGGCGAAAATTGTAACAGGAGAAGTGTATAATGTCGGTTAGGACGACTAGGCTAATAACCATCAATTGTGTTGATCGTTATTTCTGCTGCTGCTGCTGTTGCTGCTGCGCATTTGTTACATAAATCAACAGTTTGTCCATTTGTGCATAGTAATTTTAGAGTTGAATGCGAATGTCGGTCGTTGATGTGGAAGTACCGAAGAAAAAAACAACGCATTTTTCTTGTTGAAAAGTTGGTCAGCAGGCCACAATTGAATGCAATCCTTGTACAAAACAAAAACCAATCGATTTGGTCAATTTTTTTCTTTCGTTTGTTTACCCATTTTGATACTCATCGCATTACCTTTCGGATTTTAATTTTCAAATAATTGATTTTGATCGAATTTTAAACCGCGATCACTAATTAAAGAAGAAAAAAAAACTCCATAAAACAAAATCTAAATAAATTTCCATTTTACCAATTTCAGCGAGTGAAGAGAGATGAATATGGAAAAATGTAAAACATGCATTTCAATTCGCATTTACACGTTCGCACTACGTTTGCGCTAACTAATGCCTTCGGCCACAAGTGATTTGATTGATTTTCTTTCAAAATGAAAAAAAAAGCAAACAAACCGAAATCATAAGAGCGCAACACCAATTTGCACCGCCTTTTCTTGGTCACACTCAAAAAAGCCCTTTCATTTGAATATATTCCATTTTGGTATTAGCAATGCATTATGGAAACATGCGGAACCGAATCAATGGTTTTTTGGATTCGATGAAAATTCAAGCAAAATTTGTAGTGGCCACTGCCGCAGCAATAGCAACAGCCCATACACGTAACGTTGAAAATGATATAGCAACGAAAAAAAAGCAAAACTCGAAAATAGAATATACCACAAATAGATCAAGTGGAAACATTTTCTACGAAACATGCATAAATAACGAATTTTCGCTTTTGTTTCAATCTTTCTTGTGCATTTGCGCAATGTATTGCGATATTGATAATTTTTAATTAAATCAGCGAAACAATCTCAGAAAAGTGAATGAGTGAACAATAAACAAACAAATCAATGGATACATAACACAGCCAAAGAAATAGAGAAAAAAAACGAATAAAATGAAGCGTTTATATTTGAAAATGTAAATTAAAATGTAAAACGCGGCAGGAATTAAAAGAAAAGTATCCATAGTAAAGAAGAGAAAAAGTGAGTTGGGTAGTGAATTGATTTGCACACTAATTTTGATTGTAAGATTATGAGGAGGATGTCAACGTGGTGTGCTTAATTTCCGCACTTTCAAAATGACAAAAGACCACTAGGACCATCAACAAGTATATATCGATCAAACGAAATAAAAAGTGGACCATTAAAATACCAACAACATACTATGTTGAACATAGGTCAGCACTTTTTTTCTTTTTTGATATGTGTGTTGCGATAAGCATGCGATTTACCATTCTATTGTCCGAAACGTCTAAAATCTTATAAAATCGGTCACACATTGGATTGAGTTTTGCTTTCTAATTAGATTCATTTGTTGCTCTTTCGATTTATTGGCATTTGAATTGAGAAGATATTAAGAGGATGTGTGCAGTGTGCACTAACTTCAAAGTTGTTACCTTGAAACAAACAAATTGCATAAACGTGCCACGAGATGTGAAGTGAGCAAAAATGAATGGAACTTGATCTTCGACGATTATTATTACACTGTGTATTGATGCAAATAATAATATTATAGCTATAACACTATACCAGCGTTGAAAGCAACAACAACAAACGAAAATGAAAAAAAAAAATGACGATGCACACCATCTGCATTTCATTCAGGCCTCAGCCCGAGCGACACGTTTACGCATCGAACCGTATCTGCAAAATCGAACAACAGCAACATCAACAACGAGAATCTAATCGTAACAGCAAAATGGCTCTTTTTGCAATGCAATTCTTGCAATCAATTGGGGAAAAAATCGCAGCCACTTTGAGTGCTCGTCTCTTATGTTTTTTTGTTCGTTAAATAAATATCAACTTGTCGTTTGCGATTGAGTGTCTAGTTAGAGTTAGGTGGCCCGTTTTAATTTTCCTCTAGTCATCGTTCGATTGATCGCAGGAAAATGGTCTGCATATATGCTGAACGTGATTCAAACCGAACGTAACCAAAAGCGCACGCACACACACACACACACACACACATTCGTTTACTGATTGCACGTTACGGATTTTCTCCACTCACCTAAACATTAGTCTAATTTATTCATTGCTTTTTGCGTCTGCACTTTTTTCTTCTTCTTCTTCTTCTTCTTCTTCTTCATTTTTTGCTGTTATCGCGCCCATTTTTGTAATCGTCACTGTTTTTACTTCGCCTTTTAATGAATCGGAAAGGCATTTTGTGAAGCAAAAACAAAAACTACGAATGGATTGATAGAGAAAAAAGGTTGGGTTTCGTTTGGTTGAGATTATTATGGTTGACAGCCCTAGAGCGAACGGAATTATCGAGATGCCCGCTCAAAATATGTGAAACTAATGCCAAATTAGCTTGATCACATTTTAATTTTTAAAATATGCACGATAAGCACAAAAGAAAAAAAAATACCTAAAACAAAAACCCATTAGAAACCTCCGTAGTTTTGTTGATAAGACATCCGAAAAAAATTACGATCTCCTTTCGTTTCGCCGTAATTTAAAAATTGGCTCGTTGGTGTGTATGTGTGTGTGTTCTGGCTTTCGCACACCATAATTACGTATCATACATTTTGCACTGAGGCTGTTACACTTATATTATATGCACCGTTGCAATCAACCGGTTGTGTACATTTTCTTGGTGCAGTTTCTCTCTCTCTCTCTCTGTCTTTCTCTCGGCAAGTGTGCGCGTATAGCAGCGACATTGACCGCATACACTTCAAACCGCTGCTTGCAATTTATTACTCCAATCATAAATGGTTGGCTCTTTTTTGTTGTCTTGCTGTTGTTCATTGTAGTTGCACTGGCATATCGCTTCGGAATTATTGTTAGTGTGCCTTGGGCCGTAAAATCAATTCGATAAAAATCATAAAAGCAGCAACAAATAAAAATGAAGCAAAAAAAATTAAATTGCATTGAACCAAGGATATTGAACATATATTTTAACGAGTGTATGTTGTTTTTTTGTCGTATTGATTGTCTCCAAATAAGGTAAAATGGAAACTTTCACTGAAAAATGCGTGCAAAAGCCATTGACCAATCAAATGATATACGCGTTGCGTATCAGAGTTCGTCGCCTGAATCTTTTGTGCATATGATGGCGGAATTTATTGTGTACAACGAGGGTTGGCTGCTCAACAACCATTGCCGACCAATTGTCCGACGAGATAGAGAGAGAGAGAGAGAGAGAGAGAGAGAGAGAGAGAGAGAGAGAGAGGAAAAAGAAATAAAGAAAAACAATGATAGCAATGTTAATATATGCGAATTATTCCGTTAATAAAATTCAATTTCAACACCTTGGCTGCAGGTAATTACGAGCGGATGCCAAAAATGGTCAAAAAAATCCGAGTTGAAAATTGATGAAATCAAAACTACAGACAATTTTGTTTTCTTGTGCAGCAGCAATAACAACAACTCGTTGGCACGTACAATATCAGAGCGTCAAGCGCGAATTTATGAATTATTATCATCGCTGGCATCTTTGGCACTTGATCAAAAAATTGTATTTTTGGGACTTGAACTGATTTATGAGTATTTAATTTTCGTGTTAAGTCACATGAACGGGAACGAATGAAACAACGACGACTCTTTACGTAATCAATTGCACCTAATTTACTCGTCTCTGGTGTAAAAAAAAACAACAGCAACACAGTCATTAAGCGGCTGATTTCTATCAAGTCTGGCACATATGTAGCATGGTACACCATGGCCATTAGATGAATTGATATACTTTGTGCAAAGAGATCTTAAACACCAAAATGTCTTATAATAATGGCATCGTAATTTATGGTTGTAATTAAATCGTCGTTTTGTTGGTGAGATTCACCTGTGTGTCGGTATGTTGAAATTGATAGCCGTGTTTTGGGGTGCGCCCCCTCGAACAAACATTTCGCGACGCAGACGAAATAAAAACCAAATCGGGATGACACATTTTTATGGCCAATCGCCAAAAACGAATAATTACAAGAAAAAGAAGCACAAATAGGAAGAGAACCTTGATCAAGCGCTAAGATATTTTTAAGCACAGCCTCTTTTAGACATAAAAATGAGCGAGAGAGAAAGAGAGACTCTAAATGATGCAAGTACCACAATAAATGCGGATGAATTATGGTAATATTTTTCCCTTTGCAAGACAAAGCAGCACATACTTCCATGAATCAAACAGGCAATGCACATCACGGAAAAAAAGCACACACACAGAGAGAGAGAAAGAGATACGTACGAAATGGTTTCTATATTTTCTTTTCGTGTCAGTGCACGAACGAGTCAGTGGAGCATCGAAGCGAAATCGGTATGCGCGTCGCGCATTTTGACTCTTGATTTGCGTTTTATTGTGCTCACGCTTCTCCGTCTCTCAAATGAAAAGTGCGAAAGAATTATGTAATCTATAAGCATAATGAATTTTCTTTCATTTCGTTCGTTGGTTTGCGTGCATCCGCAGCAGCAGCCGATTTCTGAACCTGGAAGAGGAGAGATCTGGAGATGTGTTATGAAGGGAAACACACAAATGACTTTCACGAGTAAGAGTTTCGCAAGTGAAACTAAATGGTGGCGATAGAGATAAAGAGATGTGTGAAGTTGAAATAAAATCGAAAATGCATGGAACATGAGCCATGAGCAGATCAGAATGCATTATTTATCAATTGCATGCTCAGATAAGTTTTCGGTACGGGCGGCTGCCAACAACGGCAACGCACAATTCTTTTCTCACTCAACTGATTCGGCCGAATGTTAATTTGCTTGATGCATTTTAAAGTAAAATGGAAAAATAAACGAAATAGAAATCAATTGTGTGTGAATTAATTTTACGCACCATGGAAAATGCAAACACTGAATCAAGCAAGTAAATGAAAAGATCTTATAAGGCGAATAGAGTGTCTACGACAGTACATACGCAAAGCTCAACAAATGAATGATGATGAAGAAGAAGAAGAAGAAGAAAATACATCGAATGAGCTCTCGACGAATATGCCGCATTTTAAATAAAATTGAATAAAAATCCGTCGACTGAAGTGAATGATTTTAATTAGACAACTAATAAAATCAACAAGAACTTTGACGGTGGTTGCAAGTGAGCGAAAGAGAAACAAACGAATTCCAAAGCGATGAAATAGACAAGCCAAAAGCATACACACATGCACACATAGTATAACTTTGTTTATTTCCTTTTCACCCACATCGAATTCATTGCGCTTCAATGAATTTCAACAACACTATTAACAATTCCTGCATCGGCACCACCTTCCTGTCATTTGATGCATGCGCATGATAAAAACGCTTAGAATATGACTGTGGTTCTATGCAAGAAAGAAAAGAAAAAAATACATGAAGAACCAAGCAGTTCGATCGCAAATCGAACCAAAACAACAATTTAAAAATAGACAGAGGAAAAAAACGACGACTCTGTTTTAAACGATGTTGTTTGCTACAAACAACAACAGCAACCATAACAAAAACAATAAATGGTCATGTGTTTATGATTGTCTAATGGCAAAAAAAAGTTGATGTGGCTGTTGTTGTTTTTTGATGGTCCAAGCAGTACTTGATTACGTGTGCACGTGAGAGAGCCATCCTTCATTAGGTTTTATTGTTGCGACTCAGTACACAAGTGTTCTATTCTCGATTTTATTCAACCGTCTCAATGACGACGCTTCTTGTTCTTGCTTCATTTTAGAAAAAAATTCTTAATTTTCAATTGATTTGCATTTGTACGCGTTAAGCGTCTTATTTCATTGGCGGTCGTTTGGGCTGACGGTGTTTGTGTGTGCGCTTTTTTCGTTGTTATGCGGAATGCGTGTGGTTTTCAATCAGCATGGCAAATGAGAAATCTCGAGGTCCAAAGAGTGAATGAAAGATGGCAAATCAAGATGTCGCCCACATTACACTGTCATCGATCAGCGCACGCGTTCGTGCGCTCATCGATCTTCATTTCACATAATTGAAAATCAATTAATGAATTCTAATGTGTTGACTTTTTTCTCTCTTTCTCTCTTTCTCTCTTTCTTGAATATTTTTTGTGATTTTTCTAAGCGTGACAACACTATTCATGTTCTTGCCTGAAAATTGGCTTTGAAATCATTTGCTCGTTTTTCGTGCTCATTAGTTATCGCATTTTATTCGCATATTGTACATGTTATTCGGTAATCGATTTTTTTCATTTCTTTATCGAAACAAAAAAGAAAAAAAAGAGCTGCAAACACACGTGCTCAACGGTTCATATAGTGGCTTTTTTGTTTGATGATCGCGCAGCACATGAACTTCAACTCACGATATTCACTAGTTTCGAACAGTTATTCCATTTTAATGCCCAATAAAATGTATTCGATTACGGCACCGAATTGTTTTTTTTTCTATTTTATTTTTGTTTTGGATGTGAAACCATATCGATATGCGAATTGATCGATGTTTGTGTTATTTGGTTTCAAAATTTGACATTGAATTTCTGGAATTGATGGATTTTCTCCTTTTCGAATCTCACACGTTCAGGAAGTTGAGCGCATTTGGCCGAAAGTCTATTCAAATTTCGAAATGTAGTGCGTAGTTTTTCTTTCGCGCATAAAAATTACATCGTCATCCAAATCCTATAGTTGAATTTCATTCCAACTTAACTGTTCTCGAAGTTCGAGACTCGAACTACACACAAATAAATGATTTCTTTTTTTTTCTTCATTCTCTTCTTTTATGTGCTACTGTTAAATTCACGTTCGCATTCATAGTCGAATAGTTTGTTTTTTTTTGGGAAGAAATGTCCAAAGTTGAAATATATTCAAAGTGAAAAGACATGAATTGCGCCGTTTCTTTTCTCTTCGATCTCGGAATGTCTATTTATCATATTCAAGTGTGACTCTTTTTGTAGCTGCTGCTGCTGCGGTTGTTGTTTTCTAGATGACAATAGTTTCGTCAGTCATGACTTCTAAAAAACCACCCACCAGCTTACTATCGACGGACAGTTTTTACATTCCAAAACACCAACAGGAAAATTATTCCGAGTCGTAATAGATTGGTGTATGTGTGTCTCAAAAAAATAACAAGCAATTTACAAACTGCTAGACACCTAACGAGGCAACCCGTCATGTACATATAAATTGATTTGATGTGTTTTTTTCTTCTTCTATAATTGCGATTACGGTTCGATCTCAAATGGTGTGGAAGATTAAGCATCTTTCTCGTTCTTAACTGAGTATTGGGAGGAGGAGGAGGAGGGCAATATAAAAAAAAATTGTCAGTTTGCAATGTAAAATATTCATTCAGCTCAAAATCACGAAATGATTGAGCCATTCATTGCATGTGGAACATTAAATTGTATTTTGCATATCGAAAATGGCAATCATGCGAGAGCTTTTTTTTTTGCTGTTGTTGTTCTTCGAAATGATTATCAATTAATTGAATGAGAATGTTGTGGTTCATATTTTACGCGCGATATTTGCAGTCTCGCCAACTCATTTCGATTAATTATATGGTCGTAGTGTGTGGTTTTTTTTCTTCTTTCTTTTCAATTGCAACCGCAAAATTTTTACGCAGTTTGACCTCAAAACATTTAGTTGAACTCGTCGTACTCTTTTGCTCGTACTCAATGAAAGAATGAAAAAAAAAATTGCTAAATGGAAGCGATCTCGAGATCGACAACGAAAAATCCAATTCAATACGAAGAAAAAAGCAGAGAAAAAGAGTCAAACACTGGATTTCGGTAACCAAGCCTCATTACTCATAGCCTATCGAGTGTCATTGTCTCATTGCGTGAATGACGTTAAACTCTTTTTTTACTTCGATGCAAAAAATTGAGAAAGAAAAAGCAGCAACGACAAAACAACCAAATAAAAACAACACACGACGAATGATTTTTGCGTCTTGAAAATGTTTTTCTTTTTCAGAGTGTGTGCTGTGTTGTTAACGGCACCCATAAATGGCAAAGGCATTGAGCCGATTCGGTGTGTGTTGTTTTTTTTCATCTTCTCTCTATATCTCATAGTTCATCGGCGCCTCTATATGCAATTCACATTGAATTTTGTTTTCGTTTTATAAATGGCCGGGTGCACATCATAAATTAATTGGTACAATTGAAACCGACTGATTTAGACCGACTATGGGGCATACATTTTTTTTCCTCATTTTCATTCATTTTGGCGATGGAAACGTGAGCGACCCCAATTCTAAGCTCATCACATTTAAATCGGTTTTACGTTAACGTGTTAGTGTGTTGGGTTAGCATAGAGTGGAAAAAAACAATTACTGAATGCAATTTTACCTCTTTTGTTTCGTTGTCAATGATAGAACTCAAATTGATATCGCCCGATGCAGTTGAGCTCCGACGCGAATTGCGACGCACATCAAGCGAATCGACTGAAATGCGACGATTTGCCAAATAATTACTCAATGAACCGCTCGAGTCACGACGACTATGCCCAACAACGTGGTTTTCCACATTTGACGATGCTTCGTCACCATCTTTTTCCCAAATGGTTACATGCTTCGATACATTGGCCGTGGTTAAATCGGTGTTGAAGTTTTCTTTGTTCGTTTGATCGCTATCGCTTTTTCGTAGGATCGAACTTTCGGGCGATGCAGTGCCATTCGCACTTCCATTTGCAATCGAATCGGATTTGTATTCAAAAATTTTGCTCACATAATCCCGTGGAATGCGATAGGATCTCAATGAATCTTTGCGACCATAGCTGTCACGACGAACCAGATTCGTTCCACCGGTGCTATCGGGCCGCAAGTAAATGCTATTCCCAAAGCTCAAACGACGAAAATCATCGTTCAAACTATCGCGTTTATTTGATTTATAGTCAGAGCTATCTTTTCGTGACAGAACACTGCCATTGCTGTCTTTGCGCGACAGATTATTCGTACCGAAGCTATCGCGACGATTCAGAGCAGTCGAGCCGGAACTGTCTTTTCGATGGAGTGCCGTTGGCGTGGCAACGCCGCCATTGCTGTCGGTGCGTCGCAATTGATGTGTTGAACCATAGCTGTCTTTACGTGACAATGGTCGGGGCTCAGGCGTTGCTCCGCGTAACATCGATGGAAATCCTGATGGGTGTTCCAAACCACGGAACATGCTCGGATTCCATGAATATCGTTTCCTTAATTTTAGAACAAAAAGCGGTTTTCAATTGAAGTTTGATATGTTTTTTTTTGCTCCACAAATAAACTGATCGAAAGTCGAAGGTCGAATTATGTTTTTGGTTACCTGTTTGCATCCGAATCGGATTTGTCGCTCGAAGAGCGTCTGCGTTGCACGGCTGTGTATGTGCTATCACCGTTGCCATTGCGATCGCGATCGACCGAATCACGTTTCCACAAAATAGGATCGGGCGATTCACGTTTCGATATTCCAATCGGAAATGAGATGGAGTCACGTTTTTTCAAGCGATTTCCATGCGCATCGCAGTCGTTGTCTTTTTCCACAACGCCAGCAAACTCAATGGTATGTGTTCGTTTGTTGGGCACAAAAATTGCTTCCAACTGTTTGCGTTGCTCCGTCGTTTTGCCCATTTTATTTATTTTATCTTTCTTTTTTGCACCTGTGCCAATCACTATGCTTCTTTTTTTTTTCTACGAAAATTTTCAAACTTAAAATTGTTCACGAATTGAATTTTCAACTTGATCTAAAATAAATGTTTGACCTGTGTTAACATTGAACGTTTCACTCACTAAGGATTCGAAATTTGATTAGAACTGAAAGTGATCGTTGATAGCCTCTGTGAGGCTAAAACTTGTATGGTATGGTATGATTTAACTTCACGACGGTTTCAAAGAAACTGTCACACATTCGAGAAGAACAGCGAAAAAAAAACAATTGATTTCGTTTGGATACGATGATGAGAAAGAGTGCTGGATGCACATCATTCAACTTCAAATGACAAACTTACACTGAAAGCCTGATGATCATCATTTCTTAAAATGCGCACACACGTTCAACAAGCCACAATTACGAATCCAATGAGAGTGAGAGAGAGAGAGAGAGAGAGAGAACGAAAAAAAAAACAAACATATGGGAAACAAAAGTCAACGATGACGAGAACAGTCTCCAAAAACAGCATACAAACTCAACAGAAATGATACATTGCCTAAAATGGATTACAGAATATTTGTTTGTTTTTCCCTCTCTTTCTGTCTCTTCTCTCTCTCGGTTGTGGCGTTTCACTTTTTGGATGTGTGGTGTGGTGCTCCATTCATTCCAACGATCTTACAATCATACGTTTTGTCCAATTTGCGGTGTTGTTTATAATTTTTTTTTTTTCATCATTTTGATTCCTTTTTCTTAATGTGTTAACAAATAATTTAGCATTTAGTTGACGAGAGAGCGAGAGAATCGATTGTTGTAGCCAGTTTGTGTGTCACTGTTGTGCGTTGCCAATTTCGGTTGTTGTAGTGGCGATGCGATGGTGCGTGGGCCGAAGCACAAAATCCATAGTGATATGAATTTAAATACAAACCAATATCTTAATGATTTGGTTAAATTTGGCAAATATGAAAAAAAAATTAAAACGTAGTGGATCTCTCGCTTTCTGAACGTAACCAAAAACATGACAAATGCTGGCGAGAAAAAAAAAACAAAATAAACATAAACGAAAAGAAAAAAAATCAACCAAATCTGATCATTAACAACAAATTCAACAAATTCGGTAATTTGTGTCAGGCGATAAATAAATTGATGAACAGTAGTCGGGTTGGTTTTTGGTGTGATGATATTTTTAATTCGAATTCAGTGTCTTTTTGTTTACATGTTGGCCTTTTCCATTTGGTGCATACACACAGAGAGAGACACACCGAATGCATCACATCAACTTTCACTCCAATTTTGGCAACAATTCTGTATATGCAATTCTATGCGGTAAGACAAAGAGATGTCAACACAATCTAGCGATTACGCAATCACACTAATTCCATCGGGACCACTACCGATATTCCCCATTGATACGTTGGACACTTTATTCGGATCGAACCATAACAACAACCAAGTTGTGAATTGATGTGCAAATAAGACAAAACAAAAAATATCCGAATATTTTCGTTCGATCATTTTATGATGCACTTGATTATTTTTAAATGGTGAATCCAAAAATACCCAAAATTAAAATTAACGCGAAATGTATGAATGAGCCAAACAAATATTCCTATGTCAATTGGAAATGCGTTTTTTTTTCTTCTTCGTGGAACACGAACGATAAAAACGCAAATTTATCGATTGCGGGCGAATTGCAAGCAAAACACTTTTTAGCACTGAGTTGTATCACTTTAAGCGTTCAAATAAAAATGCCACGATACAATCGACCACAACAAAATTCTGAATACTTTTGTGGCTTTTACGAAATGAACACGATGCGAGTGAAAAATAATCGATACGCTCAACTCGATGTGTATTGGGTATAATGTTTTGGGTGCTCTATCCTTTTCTGGTACATTTCTTTATGTTGGTCGCACGATTCCGGTGCACGTTGTGCTGAACGACGTTGTACGAGAAAGG